AGCAGTGCCCCCAATACCTAACCCCCTCAGGCGGCCCAAGAGGATGCCCTGGCCTATTGTGTCAAAAGCCACTGAGAGATCTAAGAGCACCAACAGGGTCACACTACCCCTGTCGATGCTCAGACGCAGATCATTGGTCAAGGCAACCATGGCAATCTCAACCCCAAAGCCTGTCCTAAAGCCAGTTTGAAATGGGTCTAGATAATCGGTTTCATCCAAGACCGCTTGGAGTTGAAGAGCAACCACCCTCTCGATAACCTTGCTCAAGAATGGAACTAAGGAAACTGGCCTATAGTTATTCATGTCCAGGGGATCCAGGGAGGGTTTCTTTAGAAGTGGCCTAACAGCAACTTCCTTCAGACAAGATGGCATATGCCCCTCCCTGAAGGATGCGCCGATGATGTCCACAAGGAACCTCCTCAACGCATCCCCCCCGGATGGCCAGCCATGATGGGCAAGGATCGAGGGGGCATGTTATCTTCCTCACCTTACCAAGCAGCTTGTCCACGTCCTCAGTACTCGCAGATTGGAGCTGATCCAGTATAACTACATCGACGGAGTCACTGGACACCTCGACTATAGATTCTGTTCCACTGGTGGCATCTAAGTTGACTCTTATCTGAGAGATTTTATCTGTGAAAAAGTTGTTAAATGCATCACAGCAGGCCATTGTAGGGTTAAGCAAGGGATTTGGCGCAGGGGGTACCTGTGTCATCTCCCTTACCACCTTGAACTAATTAAACTAATGAGATTGTGGCAGGACAGCAGGCATGTGTGATAAAGTCCTATGACTACAAAAATGTAGTTAATCCAGATTAATGTATTTATAAAGAAAAGAAGTAAATGGATTTATATCAGAGGTATGACTCATTTTATACCAAAACTGTGTGTGAGAGAATGTTGAAAAGCCACTCTGAATTCTTGGTTTCTATTTTTATTCTTCAAAGGAGTGAAAATTAATTAAATATTAATTTGAATGATTTTATGGTACCATCACTCTGAATAGTCAGGTATTTATTGTATTCTACTTCCACCCCACTCTCTTCTCTCTCCCTAGCTGGCATTAATTGGTGCGGTTCTATAGAACTTAATGGAGCAATGCCAAATGGCAGTAAAAGTGAAGCTGCTACTGTGTGATTTTAACATTCATTTTTCTCCCCTTCCCCTCCAGCATCACTGCCTCCAATGTTTGAAGAGAAAATGAAAACTTTACAGGCAGGCATCAGATCAATACCAAATGTCATATTAGGTTGTACAATAGAAAAATGAAATGTTTTGGTGAAAACCACAGAAATATCTGAAGTTCACAAGAGCACTGTCAAATGTTATGACCTGAAGATATCTCAAAGCATGCCCAGAAGCTCTCCCAGCTCTCCTAGATGCACTAATTGTGGTGAATAGAATGTCCAGCTGCCCAATCAGGAGGCAGCTGAGGACCAACCAATAGAATTCAAGCTGGGAA